GTGGGGCAGTTGGGGTCTGTGCTGCCCGTGGAGCTGCCCCATCCCTTTGCGCCCCACATCGGACCCCACATCCCACCCACATCCCCCTTAGGACCCCCACATCCGCCCTATATCTCCCCATAACCCCCATATCCCCCCCAAATTCTCCTTAGGGCCCCAAATCCACCCTATGGCCCCCCCAGAACCCCTCAAATCCCCCCGCCGTCCCCCAACCCCCCGCCTCTTGCCCCACATCCCACCTCGATCCCCTACATCTCCCCGAAGCCCCACTATCCGCCCCAAATCCCCTTAGGGCCCCTCAAACCACAATTAGGGCCCCCAAATCAGCCCTCAGGACCCCAAATCCTCCCCAGGAGCCCCTTAGGACCCCTTGAACCCCAAACCCAAATGGGATTTCCAATTCCAACACATTCACCCCAAACCCAAATGGGGTTTTTCACCTGCCAACATATTCACCCCAAATCCAAATGGGGTTTCCCACTCCAACACAGTTACCCCAAATCCAAGTCAGGTTTTGCCATTCCGATCCATTCACCCCAAATCCCATTGGGATTTCCCACCCTGACACAGATACCCCAAATCTAAATAAGGTTTTCTCTTTCCAACTCATTCACCCCAACCCCAAATGGGGTTTTCCAACCTATTCAACTCAAACCCCAATGGGATTTCCCACTCCAACACATTCACCCCAAATCCAAATTGGGATTTTCCTTTTCCAATGTCTTCACCCCAAATCCAAATGGGGTTTTTCTCCTCCCGATGGATTCACCCCAATCCCAAATGGGATTTTCCTTTTCAAATGCACTCACCCCAAATCCAACAGGGATTTTCCCATTCCAACGCATTCACCCCAAACCCGAATGGGGTTTTTCTCCTCCCGATGGATTCACCCCAAATCCAGAAGGATTTCCCATTTCCACACATTCCCCCAAACCCAAATGGGGTTTCCCCCCCCGGCCCCATTTGCGGTGCTGTGTGCAGGGCTCTTAATGAGCCGACAGTCCTTAATGGGATTGAATTGCTTCGTTATGGGCGGTAATTACAGCCGTCGGGCAATTAGCGCCGCAATTAATGCAATTAACGCAGCTCTGCCGGCTGCAGGGCTGAGCGGGGATGCGACCCCATGGGCTCCACTATGGGCGGCGGACCCACACTGACCCTACAGCCCTGACCCTACAGCCCTGACCCTACAACCCTGACCCTATGACCCCGACCCTGACCCTGTAACCCCAACCCTGACCCCACAATCCTGACCCTACAACCCTGACCCTATAACCCAACCCTGACCCTATAACCCCAACCGTGACTCTACAATCTTGACCCTATAACCCCGACCTGAACCTATATAACCCCAACCCTGGCCCTACAATCCCGACCCTATGACCCAACCCTGTCCCTATAACCCCAACCCTGTCCCTGTGACCCCAACCCTGACCCTATAACCCCAACTCTGATCCTGTAACCCTGACCCTATAACTGTGACCCTGTAACCTCAACCCTGACCCTCTAATCCCAATCCTGACCCTGTAACTCCAAACATGACCCTATAATGCCAACCCTAACCCTATAACCCCAATCCTGACCCTGTGACCCCAACTCTGACCCTACAACCCCAACCCTGACCCTGTGACCCTGACCCTATAACCCTAACCCCAACCCTGACCCTGTGAAACTAACCCTGACCCAAGCCCTATAACCCCAACCCTGACCCTATAACCCTAACCCTAACCCTAGTCCTAATCCTAACCTTAATCCTGACCCTATAACATAACCTAACCATGACCCTGACCCTAACCCTACAACCCTGATCCCATAACCCTAACCTTGACCCTCGCCCTATAACTCCAATCCTAACCCTGACCCTATAACCCTAATCCTAGCTTTGACCATGACCCTGACACTGACTCTGACCCTATAACCCTGACCCTATAACCCCAACTCTAACCCTGACCCTGACCCCAACCAACCCTGATCCTAACTCTGACCCTATAACCTAACCCTAACCCTTACCCTGACCCTATAACCCCAACCCTCACCCTGTGACCCTAACCCTAACCTGACCCTGACACAGATCCTAACCCCAAGCAGCCTTGACCCTATAACTCTAACCCACACCGTATCCCTGTCCCTATAACTCTAACCCCATAACTCTGATCCTATAAATCAATCTCAACCCCTACCCTAAACCCAACACCAATCCTAAAATGAAACCTGACCCTAACACTCTAACCCTAACCCCAACCCTAACCCTGACCCCATAACTCTAACCCTGACCCCATAACTCTAACCCTGACCCTGACCCCATAACTCATAACCCTGACCCTGACCCCATAACTCTAACCCTGACCCTGACCCCATAACTCTAACCCTGACCCCATGACTCATAACCCTGACCCTGACCCCATAACCCTGACCCTGACCCCATAACTCTAACCCTGACCCTGACCCCATAACCCTAACCCTGACCCCATAACTCATAACCCTGACCCTGACCCCATAACTCTAACCCTGACCCTGACCCCATAACCCTGACCCTGAGGAGTTTTCTCAGCGGGTTTGG